ATGTCAGCGTGCAGGAGGTTCGCTCGACTACCCAGACTGAGAATTCGCGAGCATACGTGGCTCACTAGAACACCAATTTACTTACCAGGTTTTGGTTGTTCAGTGTACGAGCAAATAATAAATACGTTGGAAATATACAACATGAGATAGCGATATATTCGCAAGTATGAACGATATTAATTAAACCATTGATGTGATAAATGGTCCAGAACAAAATTGAGATGATTGATCTAAGCGAAAAGCATCTACAGACAAATTAGTAGGCAATATAGAAATGAAATATGTGTTGTATGATAACATCAAAAATATCCTCGACTAAGTGAATGAGTGTAATATTAGGCCATAAATGACATCCGAAAAAGTGGAACGAACTCGCCAAAAGCAGGAAAATCTTGAGTCATCGAATAATAAAAATGGTCTAGTGAGTTTAGAATGTCATAACGTGTAGCGTCCAGAAAACAATAATTTGTTCGATGAGTGATATGATTGCGTATATCTCATAAATTTAATGTCAATACAAACAGCGATAATAATTTCACGATATTTGATGATATGAAATTAATTTAATAGTAAGCATATGATAATTATTCGAATCACAATGGAAGAATCCGCCAGATGGATCAATGAGCAGATATGATATGAGGACAAAGTATCGATAAGATAAAAAGATTCGAGAATGTCCATGTAGTGCTACTTAGGCTTCGCTAAGTGTGCTTATCCAAAGTATGAGATGCCGAAGTTTCTTCATCGACGAAGGCTACTGCTTTATAATTGTCGTCGACAGTTACGTTTGTGGTTCATGTTTGCTTGTTATTATATATAATATAATAATATATATTTTTAAAATAATATTTACAGAATTCACGCCAGTTTACAAGCATGATCAGATTGATATAAAAAGCAACATTTAATGTAGAGAACAAACATGAAATATAAGAAAGTTTTATGTTTGCTGGTCTAGTAATTGATAAGTAGTTTATATATGGCATATATCATGGCAAGCCAATGCAACACCACTGAATGTATCATTTTTTCTTAAGTGGATAGCCTGATGATTAATCAACGTCGTTCTGTAAGGTTATTTCCAGTGACAGAGCGAGTTATTGATATTTATCTACAACTAGAGAAAGTAAGATAAAAGCAAAGAGCACGGAACAACAAAACAATGATACCAAGTAAGAGGTTAAACATTTAGAGTTCCGATAATTTCACTTGTAGAGTAAGATACACTTACAGGCGCTAGAGCATTTAATGCATTTTCAGAGGAGCAATAGGCAATAATGGAGCGAACAAACAATGCTTCAGGTGTTAACAAAGAGGAGGGACCGATCCATAAAAATTCAAATTATCAAAACACAAGAGACCGTGACTTAGTGTTTCGTCATACATATCTGGGTATGAGTGTTGGTTGATTTTATCGAGTCACCTGAATTCATATGTGACCATGCGGGTGTAGGTGGAACGACAAACGTTCACTATAAAGATAACAATAATATACGTCTAATACAAGGATCGTGATAGCCTTGGACAGGCTGAAATCATCTGCTTAGCAAATCAGATATATCCATTTAGCCGAATCGGGTAAATTTCATACGAAAGATAACGTTGTTGTACTTAGAGGGACAAATTAAAGAATTAAGGAACCCGATGCCAAGGTAGAACTACATTTATTAAGCGATAACTTGGAGACTGGTTATTGTTATAACTTCAGGGATTTCTTTTTTATAATGGTTAGTTTACTTTTTACACGTATGTGGGAGGTAACTTACATAGACGAATATCTACAATAGTTTCCCTCCCTGTGTCTAGTCTACAGGACTTCAACACAACTCAGGTCAAGAATACGTGATTAGAATGTCAATACATTTCCACCTAGATCCGACACAATCCAAAAAGAATAACAATTAACCAATAATAATAAGTAATAAGGATAGGTTAATATATAACACATATAACACCTGTCACACTAACTACATGTCTAACTAAGCAAAACAACCAGACATCATAATTCTCGCCCATATATCAGTTATGGAGCAGTTAGTTATTTACGGCAGCCTTTCATACTGTGTGTTGTTGTGTAGCGAATCTGCAGCAACACTAATCGAACCGAGAATTTGGATGGCAGTGGTGATATTGAGGTTGAAAATGTGTCTAGTCCTAAAAAGCAGTTTCTCATTTGTACTTTGCCAAGTGTGTTTTGATGCAGACTCAGTGATATTGCCGTATGGCGTTAGAAATTCAGGCAGTCGAAACAGTAATTTCATAGTTAATCACCTTGCCTCTGCATCATTATACGTGTATTGAACAGTGTGTTATATATGATCGTCATAGAACCCAGCTGACAGGACCTCGTTGAGTATAAAAATGAGCGACCCAGATTACTGCTTCGAATGTCCTAACCTGTTGGACGATCATGCTTTCAGGGTGACTACTGACCGTTTGAGACCTTCGCCTTCTCAAAAACCAAACTCAACGGTTAACCTCATCAGCATGAAACGCGTAAGTTCTCTTATTTCATTCCACTACTCTGAGTCTATGAAATAAACCAAATACGTGACCTAGTTTGGAAAACTCATTGAGCTTCTAGTGCTTTTTGCCTTGATAAAGTCATAAAACAACTGTTCATCTAAGATGTTTTGAGGTCAGTTAGATTATGTTTCGACGGTACAAGAGTTGTATTGTGAATTTTCAGGTGGATTTAGAAGTTACTATAAAATAGTTATCTGAGGAAATCACCGACAATAACACCGGATGGATTACAAATGAGCTTAAATAGATATTGTGGTTGATAAGATAGTAAATCTTTATAAGCTTCGGCCTGCATGAGAAATTCGAAAACACAACAAGAGAACATAACAGTTGACAAGGAAATTCGAGTTTAAAGTCATGGATTATTAGTTGCAATAAGTGCAGTCACTAAGGGAATATGTTTGTCAGAAGCCAACCGTACCATCAATTATCATGTGCCAAAACGTAAGGAACGTTACTCAAAATACAGTGATGGTGGCGTTTCCTAACATTATATTGTATCGTGGTTGGCTATTCCAACAACTCATGGCCAGTAGGACTGGCTGATATGTGCGGGATAGGTGAAGAGGGTCTAGCAAGAACAATATTGGTGAGTGTAAAAAAAGAGGTTCTAGTACGAGATATCAAGAAGCGTTTTCTTCACGAACGAGCCGGAAAACTGTTTGTCGTGGTTTGGGGCTATGGATGTACAGGCGCACTGATGTTTGTTCCGCACTTCCCATCGGTATAGACTAGTAAGCCAGGAGATCCATGATTGAATGTATTCAAAGGTGTCTTAACGTAGCTGGAGGGATTTTGGTGGCCGATGTAACGAAAAGACTTCTTTGAAACTCATTTCAAAGCTTTTAATTATACAGCATTGCTATTCTTGTAGTATTCTTTTCCGTCTTGCATTTTTACCTTTGCTCACTTAGTTTTCAATTTTATCCCATTTTCTTCACTCTTATTCGTCTAAGCTTTTATACTTAGTTTTTTTAGGGTTTGTATTTATTAATTCATTTTCCTGTTGCATGTTCCTAGACCATTTACAAGAAGGTCATGTTTGACCAAACTTAAAGTTACAGCGTGGTTTAACTGATGATTGTTTAACTTTGACGGCCTTCCGAGTACAGTCAGTCGAATCTCTGCAGATGGGTGTCCAGTCCCATCTTGTTAGTAATACGTGTAGTGGTTTTATGGTACAAAACTGTTAATCACTAATCATTCCGTCTGCTATTTAGTTCACCAAGTTGTGCTAGAGTAACCTTGAACCGTATGGCACACGCCGTACCCTATAATTTATTTTTTATTTTCGATATGACTTTTCTTTCCTAGGTCAGAACTAGTTGAATTAATCTCAAAGTTTGTGTTTGAAACTAATGTAATATGAGTTACTCGAAAAAGCTATGTACTAGTATAGAGAAGAACTCCGTACTCCCTCTATACTTAACAAGCCACTCCGATGTCTTTTGTCATGGATCATCCTTGAGTGATGGTCACAAAATACTCGTTACTGTACATGAAACAGATCCATGACAGTGTGAATTCATACTTCATTAACCAACCGTTTTTCATCAACTAATCCCTTACACGAAATTAATAATCATTGTTACCGATCAAATTGTTGTCACATTTAGCCAGGTAACGACAGCACAAGATGTTCTGAATTCTCCTACTACATCTCTTGAACGAACTAGCACTCCTCAATATTATTTGAGGACACGTTTCCCCTATTTATTTTCAACGCATCCGCATAGATTTTTGATTTATATTTTCATCACTTATCGACTTCACTACACAGTCACTGAGACATTATTATAGATATCGCAAATTTACTCATGAATACGTTTTCGGAATTGTTACGTTATCTGTGAGCATGATAATCAATCGAGATATTGCTAGTGTAACACGAACTACACATGAATCACTCATTAACACAACCTTCCTAAAATTACACCCATCGAGATAATTCACCGAGCTAATGATCCAAAACAACACTCGATAGAAATAAATCAAGCAATTCACAACCAAATCTACAAAACAAATATCATACCATAGCACTAATCCTCGCACATATCCGTTGAGGCATTTAACACAAAACAACGAAGTCACATGCGAACACAATCAATTCAACAAACTGTAAACAGTCAGATAACCGTAATTCATTGTTCAATCGGGTTGAACAATGAAGACACTGTGATAGACGAAATCGAGTTGATTAAATAATGTGAAGTGTGCCAACTGGCCACACAACACACGAGTTCAGATCAACTCAATTGAACAACCAAATATTAGGTGCGAACACGTGTGTGTACGTGGAATGACCGACGTCCATTATAAATACAACAATGCAATATATACAGTCAACAAACGAACAAGTCAACGAGCAATCGACACTCACTTCAACAGTGAACAACCACAATGCAATTCCTCACTGTATGTTACAATTCTGTTGTGTGATATTTTCTGTCTGATCGGCCTTCTCATTTCAGCTCATCATAGTTGTACTGGTCGTATCGTTTGAATGTCAGAATCCAGGTGAGTCTTATCCTAATTGATAGTGGTAAATTCCGCTCAATCATGAAATATAATTTGTAAATATATACTGCTAAACGTAAACGTTTCTCCTCTTTTCACTTGAAGTTTGACTGTTTTTATATCTATTTTCTGTTGTCGTTTCATTCGACACTTTGTTTTTTTGTTTATGCTCTAGATTCAGTTTTTATGCACTTTTGCGTTACTGATAATCATCATGTTTTTATTTTGGTTTATTCACTTTTCAGTTATTGCTGGCCCTTCCAATGACATTGATGATCTGGTTGCCAATGGCATCGATAATATAAAGAAAATCGTCTCACTAATACCGGGAATTGATTCGAGTGTTACAGAAGCAAACGCCAGTATCTCAACGACAGTTTGAAAGACGTCCGACCCAAACTTGTTCAAATCTGTAGACACTACCTAACGTGTGATTTACATTTTGTTCTTTATATACACTTGATTTGTTCCATAGCTAGCCTTTCTTTTTTTCGGTTGAAAATATCAGACGTCTATGCCAAGAACTATATATACGACCAAGCATGTGTTAACTCGTTTGAAGACGGATACAAAAAGTTAATTATTTAGAACTGCTGCATTTTTCATCTTAAATTCATTTGAACGTAGGTGAAAATACGTACATTTACATTGATTCAGTTGCATTTGACATTTGCCTGATTTCGACTTCTAAATCCAACACATTCATTTGTGCTCACCAAGTTCTTTTTGCCGAGAATTGCACTATTTCAGGAATTCCTGGTTCGTACATCAATTAAATTACTTCTAATCGTCACAATCACCTAAGTACACGTATTATTGATTTTCATTTCACACAAGATGATTTCAAGAAATCAATCTGGAGAATGATTATTAACAGAGATCGTGATTGCAAATCGTTCCCATCCGTACTTCTTACTTTCACGCAAATGACTCACATTGTCTTCGTACAACACCTTTTTCTCACCTGTTAATGCGATAGGGGCATTGAGAATGACATAAGGTAAAGCATGAAATTGATACAAAGACATCATTTGGATGGTTAAAACGTGAACTTGAATGTTGCCAAATGAACCATGATTCACAACAGCATAAATCGATGTTGTCGACTATGTGGATATACAGTTTTGAAGCAATGTATCGGTCCACATTGCATACCTCCTACTACCTCCTCCAACTTTGTTCGTCCAGGGTAAATTGCCCTCTGACAGGAGTAAGATATGGTCCAACCGAGACACTAAGGGGATAACAGGATGTGAGTCTCCCATTACTCACCAGTTCGATAGCTCTTTCCTGTCACTACTTCTATGCAAAGTGTCACTACTGCATCTCTGCTCAACGATCTTGCTGTTTATTAATGACAATATTCGTACCGTAGACGTTAGGAATCATACTTCCGATAGTAGAAACTTCTGTTCCTGACACAACTGATGGTCATACGTTTTATTGGTACGCAACAATCGTCGTGTCCTAATGAAGAATTAACCGAAAACTATCGTTCGTCATAGTACTCTTTTCTAACATATGAATGTGTATGTTCGAACGAATTTGTGTATTTGAGTTTATGTTTATGTGTACTTCTGTATGTTCATGTAATAGTTGCATGTAGGTTTATACGAGGTTGTGTCGGTCCATGCTTTGCGTATGCCACTCGACGAGAAGTGACAGACGTTGATCAGTCAGTGTAAGTTGGTCAATGTATAGTCACTTTTGTGTTTCATATTTACCGTGATTTCCAACTATCTGAAGTTAGAAATTGGTGGTAAATGGCACCTAATATTTATTCTGGTTATTTCTGTCGTCTGTTGCATTTGAAGCAAATGAATGATGACTGGCAATAGAGTCCGTGGTGTGCGCTTCATTTTATTCAGGACTGTTCAGCTGGATGTATCGACATCTCAGAGTTGATGTGCACTCCGTATCCCGTAACCAGTACCGTTCGTTTCAGGTTTCATCACGTTATACACTCAGTCAATGAGTCGAAATACCCATTACTTGTGAAATGGAATGAATTTCAATTCTTGTAAATTGGTTGATTGTATCTTCCCACAATTCCCATCTAAAATCCCATTCACACTATACAAGGAATGTCGTAATTTGAACAAACGTAAGAATCACTATCACTACTATCATGATCAAACAAAGGATGAGGTAACATAAGAGTGTGATTGAGAGTTAAAAATACTCGAATAACTATGTTGGCAGGCAGATGAGTTAATAGTTTTTTGTATGTTTCGTTTCGTGAGGTTAGCGTTTAAGGCTACTCTTGCTCTCAGTAGATGATTAAGGTGACTAGTTTATGCGAAACGGTATCAATGTGTTTCTACTGCTGTGAGAAAAACAGTAGTTGGTTTGTCAGTGAGAACATGTATGGCAGAACGATGCGTGAGTGTGCACATATATAATGATTAGGAAACACCGACATGGATTTCACTCAAGATACGACGAAGAAGGAGTTGGTTTACACGGACACAGACAAACGTGCTGGTTCAAAATGCTAAGTAACGCGACAAGTCGATCAAAGGACAGTCATATATTATTCGACATATAGCAAGCAAATAAACACTCGAAATTACAGAATAATCAAATATAAATGACATATTATATGCCTTTAGATCTTGACTTGACCATCTCCCGAGGCTTCTCGGTTTTTGTTGTTGTTTCTCCGTTTACTACAACATCCTCCACAACAGTCTCCATCACGACATCCACGACATCCACAACACCGAGGACATTGAGGGCATGCACCGGAACAGTAAGGACACCTTCCACCTGGTGCGGGAGCTCCATTAGCTATAAACCAGATAACACAACATCACGATGTCACGTATTATATCAGGAATGATGGAAACAAACAAACTGTAACCTACAAGTAACGACTTCAAAAGTCGAAATTTTATTATATTGATGAAAATGGTCGATATGCATTCCAATAACTAGTAAACATGTATCGGCATCATTTAATCTGGTTGATTGGAATCGACCGCCATCGAGCAAGATAAGACTCACCTGGATTTTGACATTCGAACGATACGACCAGTACAACTATGATGAGCTGAAATGAGAAGGCCGATCAGACAGACAATATCACACAACAGAATTGTAACATACAGTGAGGAATTGCATTGTGGTTGTTCACTGTTGAAGTGAGTGTCGATTGCTCGTTGACTTGTTCGTTTGTTGACTGTATATATTGCATTGTTGTATTTATAATGGACGTCGGTCATTCCACGTACACACACGTGTTCGCACCTAATATTTGGTTGTTCAATTGAGTTGATCTGAACTCGTGCGTTCTTTGGCATATTGGCTCGTTGGCTTGTTCGTTTGTTTACTACATTGTATTTTCGAAGCATTTATTCTCACCACTGATGTAGATAATCATGTTTATTCTTTCTTCAAATTACTTCAAAGATCTCTCCAGTTAAGATGATTAGCATTCTACATGATAATATTGTGTAACACAAGCCATCTTTACCTTTCTCAATTCTTGTGAACATTACACCAGTGCCTGTGAAATTCTGTCGCAAACTGACCAAGTTGTCTCATTGAGTGTGATAAAAATAATATTTCATCAGTGAATTGGTGGAAATTTCCGCTCGATCCAATTTGTTGTGTGGTGGTCACAAAATACTCGTTACTGTACATGAAACAGGTCCATGACAGTGTGAATTCATACTCCATAAACCAACCGTTTTACATCAACTAATCGCTTACACGAAATTAATAATCATTGTTACCGACCAAATTGTTGTTACATTTAGGTAGGTATCGACAGCACAAGATGTTCTGAATTCTCCTCCATCATCTCTTGATCGAACCAGTATTGTTCAGTATTATTTGAGGACACGTTTCCCCTGTTTATTTTCAATGCTTTCGCATAGCTTTTTGATTTCAATTTCGTTTGGTTGTATTTCGTAACTTTCATCGACGTAACGCGTGAACATAATCAATTCAAGAAACTGTAAACAGTCAGATAACCGTAATTCATTGTTCAATCGGGTTGAACAATGAAGACAAAGTGATAGTCAAAATCAAAGTTATTATGTAGGGTGAAGTGTGCCAACTGGCCACACAACACACGAGTTCAGATCAACTCAATTGAACAACCAAATATTAGGTGCGAACACGTGTGTGTACGTGGAATGACCGACGTCCATTATAAATACAACAATGCAATATATACAGTCAACAAACGAACAAGTCAACGAGCAATCGACACTCACTTCAACAGTGAACAACCACAATGCAATTCCTCACTGTATGTTACAATTCTGTTGTGTGATATTGTCTGTCTGATCGGCCTTCTCATTTCAGCTCATCATAGTTGTACTGGTCGTATCGTTCGAATGTCAAAATCCAGGTGAGTCTTATCTTACTCGATGGTGATTGACTCGATCTGATCATGATTACTGATGTCTGTATCAGCTATTTGGTGTTAGTTAAGTTGTCTCCTATATTTATTATTGTTGTGTTGTGTGCTATGCTGTAGTGATGATGTGAAATGTAAGTGCATGCGTATGCCTATTTTTCAAACATTGTGTCACTCTCATTTTGATGTTGTTTCGCATGTGTAGTCGTTGCAGGTCCATCGCAAGATGAACTGATACTTACCGGTCTTGGCGCAGGTATTGAATTGGCTTCAGCTCAATCTGGAGATGTTGCTGGAGCGCCTTCCAAGAAATCCGATCAACAGTCAGAATCCTAATGTTCATCCCTCAATAACGGTCATCGAAAAAAATGCACCACCAATTATGTAGCTCCCAATATCTCAGTTAAATATATTTGCATTGTTCTGCAGCTTCCGATGCCTTTTCATTTTCTCTCCAAATTTGCTAAAAAAAATGGTTGATTGACACTCGGCTTGCACCGCTCGTCCTAGTCCTTATTTGTCGCAGTGCTCAGTGAACATTTGTTTGCCAAATTGTTGTACGAGCTTAAGTTCTTTATCATGCTGGTCACATGTGCAAGGTGCCATAAAGTGTTCATTCAAGATATCAACATGCATCATTTATTAATGAATCTGAAATTCGATCACGCAGATATCAACAGCAGCAAAGTCGCTTGAATCAGTGAGATTTGTGTGACTGGGCACATTTGTTGAATAGTGCGCAAAAATGTGAGGTCATTTTGATTATCATTATATGTAATACTGACTTTGAGTTTTTGTCTGCAAGTTGAGACTTGGATTTCGATTAATTGGAGTTCTTACATGAAAACACCTATTTACAACTGTAAGTCGGCTCAAAATCTCATATCTTACTTGCACAGTTATGTGGCACACCTTTTACACAGGACACTCAACTCCATGGCTTTATTTTATTTTTATGTAATCTCCTAATTCATATGTGCCCATGTTTGCTTCCGTCTCCGATCAGTTTTAAAATTTGGGCAAACAACAACTGGTCGTGTATTCTTGTGGTTTAAGGCTTTTCAGCAATGACGGTGGTGTTCAGAAGCCAATAAACTCATGGACT